CCCCCCTCAGATCTCTAAAAATACCCACAAAAGGGTCACATCATCCTGGGCACAGAGAGAACTGCTCCTGTCTGTGCTGCTCCTGCACTCTGAAGATGCCGGTCACATGCTGGCGAAACGTTAGGAAACAAAACTTCCAGAACACGGCCACACAGCCCGGAAGACCCACACCAGCCATCGTATGCCGGCCGTGAAAGCCTTCGACAATAGATGGGATGATTCATATTACATCTACCTTGCTGGTATTAGGTTCTAATCCTTCAGCTGGAGAACATGCCTTATATGTCACCTGTCTCAGTGACATATAAGAGTTTCATTTTTTCTGGTTTCAGTTTGGTGTTCTTCACTCTGTACTGCTGAAAGACCATAGCCTGAGAAGTTTTATCTTCTTCCTCTTCTGTATCAGTGCCCCTTTCTCCAAGAATCAAGGTGTCTCTGATTGTTTGCTCTGATTGTTCCAGATTACAACCACAGGAAGATGTAGCAACCCAAAGTGTCAAAAAAGTAATCAGTTTGCTTAGGACTTCATCCAGCTTCACATGTCAGGAGCCATTGTTGGCATCACAAGGATTGATTATACAAGCTCTGAGAAGGTGAAGCAGGAGATTGTCAATCGTAGACATTTGATAATGATATTGAGTACCCAGCTTAATGGCTCAGGATCCATGCAGACATCTGCAATTTGCCTGATGGCTTGATTACTTTGAATGAACTTATTGGCAATGTTGTGTTTGAAATCAAGATCCAAAATAATTTTCCATGTGCATCCTTTCCACATATTTATATTTTCATGCCTAGCTATCCTCCACAGGAAGAAGCACCTAATTGACTTTATCTAAGGTCAGAAGTTAAACAAAGTCAGGCTGGGTTAGTGCCTGGATGGGACAATATCAGGGAATACAAGGACTGACAGAAAAGTAAAATGAAAAGCCTGGAAGTAAGTTAAAAGTATTGTTAACTGCAGGGCGTCTCATACTTGAGGATGGCTTAAATTAACATTGCAACTTTATGTTTAAATAGTATCACATTAGAGAAGTCAGCAGAGAATATATGTTATTTATATTTATATCTTCTTCTAGGAATTCGAAAAGATCGCAGAGGTGGCCGAATACTGAAGCACAAACGTCAAAGAGAGGAACATGATAGCAGAAACACAGGCACAGTAGCAGAGGCAAGGAGCCCAAATCTTTGGCCAAGTCCACTAATGATCAAACATAGCAAAAAAAACAGTCCAGCCCTCTCTCTATCTGCAGACCAGATGGTTTCTGCTTTGCTAGAGGCAGAACCTCCTGTTGTCTATTCAGAATATGATCCTAACAGACCTTTCAATGAAGCTTCGATGATGACATTATTGACCAACCTTGCTGATCGAGAACTGGTCCATATGATCAACTGGGCCAAAAGAGTTCCAGGTAAGAATAGTAGCAAAGAATGTTTAAGCAACTATTCATATTGTTACAAATTTCAAAGCATACTCTCACAGATAGACAAATGTGAAGGAAAGACATGTTTAGGTAACTATTTTATAAATGTGAATTGCATCATGATGTAAATTATATAAATCATTGTGGATATCACAGCATTAAAATAAAATTAATCCAAATTTAACTTCCTCATCCAGACTATTTTGGATGCAATCGACTTGTCCATCACTTCACGGAGATATCTGGATCAAATTTATTTATTTTTATTAATTAATTAAATCAATTTATATAGCCGCCCATCTCACCACAGGCGACTCTGGGCGGTGTACAACAAAGCTAAAAACAGTACAATACATTAAAAATATATAATACAAAATAAAACAGAGAATAAAAGGAAGTTAAAAATAAGGGGGCCACCTCACTAATTCCCCCATCCCCTGGGGTCCCCAGGCCTGCTGGCATAACCAAGTCTTAAGGGACCTCCAGAAACTCGACAATGACG